GGTTTTTCGGTTTTAGGTATTGTTGCCCACCCCCACTGATTCCAATAAAAGGGAAAACGAACCAAAAAAAAATGTAAAACTTCGAGAATAGGGAACAATTTTGGATGAGAAGAAAAGTTAATTCAAATAAATTGTAAGCTCTATTAGTTGATTATTACTTAGTTTCAAGTTTCAACGAGAATTATTTAGAAATACTGAAAAAAAAAAATTTAAAAAAATCATGCTGATTGCTGGTTAGTGCCAGATTAGTAAAATTGTTCAATGTTTAGTTTTGCTATATATACGATATGCTTACGTCCATCTTTACTAAAATTTGTGTTAATCAAATAGAATAGTATGGTTATATATCTGATCATATACAGTAGTTACATTATGTTGTTTTAATTAGCAGGTTTAGTTTTAAAACACTTTACCCAAAATTACTCTCCAAGAATTTTGCGAATCTTAGCAACATCCCGACCGTTGATCTGATAAACCCTCTCTAAAACCTCTTCCACAATCTTTGAGTCAAAGTTGACCAAAGACACAAACTGTGTCCCAGGATTCTGACTATTCAGACCCGATACTGCCAAAGCTGAGCTCACCGAATCCATATTGTAAAGAAAATGGACCAACCCTTTAGGGAACACGAATGTTTCACCTGGATGGAGCTCCTGGGTAAAGACCCGACCCGACGTATCCACAAACCCGACGAGAAGAACACCGTCGAGACAGACCGTTACTTCGGAGGCGCGTGGGTGCACGTGCGGTGGGACTACACCTGAGGCGTCAAAGTCTATCCGAGCCATTGTGAGACCCATTGTGTTGATACCCGGGAGATTGGTGATTGTTGTTAGAGTAACGTTGATCATAAACGGGTTGACCCGGGTGTTTCCGGGTTTGGATAATGCGGTGGTTGTGAAGTCGGAGACGGTGGCTTGTGTCGGATCTTTGCAGAGTATGCCGTTGAGGAAGATGTGTTGGTGGTCAGATGGAGGAGGAGGAGGAGAAATGCAGTAGTCTTGGAGTGGGTCCGGGTCTGGTTTAACCCGACTCATCAGAAGTGTGAAAGCTAATAGTAAGTTTAGAAGCATAGGATTGGTGGTTTTCATTGTTGGGTTTTTTTACTTTGAGAAATGAGTTATAAGTTGTATAAATGATGAATTTGAGAAAATGATGTCTAATTAGGAATAACATGCACTTTTTAAAAAAACTTATATATATTTACTAAAGAAGCAAAACAAGTTTCATTGTGTAAAAACAACAAAAATAAAAAGATTAATTTCATTGTGGTGCTGCAAAATTTTTATTTAAGCAAAAGCCAGTAAGGTTTTGTTAGCCGTTAAGCAAAGAAACCTAAAACTTTCCTTCATCCATCAATGAGTTTTGTTATATATCCTATATTTATTTTTATCGTAGTGCATATTTTATCATCGACCGGATCATTTTTTTGTTCTAGTATCATTTCTATACAAACCTCACTTACACCAAACTACTCAAAGATATCTTAAAAC